AGAAACGGTCGTCATATTTAAAATGTTTCAGTAAGGGGAGCGTCGTCAGCATCGGTCATGGGTTGATCCGGGTCGTTGGAGCTACCGTCGGTGGATTCAGCATCCTTGATGGGCTGGGGAGGGGCACCACGACATTTGTACAGCAGTTTTGGCAGATCGGCGTCGTCCAAAATGCCGTCAGCAAGGAAGGAGCGGGCAACAGGGGAGGCAATGTGGTATGGCAGATGGGAAATTGCGCGTTCACATCGGCTGCGGTGGAGATCAAACACAAAGGCTTCTTGATCGGGAATGGGCATTTGTTTTATTTCAGGGTCACCAATGATGGTGATAGCCAGGGGGTCGAAATCGGTGAGCGGTTGAATTTTGGAGTTCACAATTTGGGCCATAGCAAATTCATAGTATTGAACATGGACAAGAAGTCCAATAACGGAACGAGCTGGGAATATGATGTCGAGGACGCGGTATGGGTCAATGCCCAAACGTCGAAGCCGCGAACGGACTTCTTGCCGGGTCAATCGGCGGGAGCGAGGAACATACAGGTATTTATAACCTGTGGGGCCATCGTTTGGTTGGAAGGCACGGGCAGCAGCAGCCTGACGGCGGGCGAGAGCAACAGGTTGGACCGGGCGATATTTTTTGGTCACAGTAGCCCATGAGGACTGATCGGAGCCAAGGGGAACGGAAGAGGAGGGCTTGGCGGTTTTTGTGCCTGAGGGTTTGGCAGGCGAAGAGGTGGTGGAGGTCACAGCAGCAGAAGTGGGGCGTGGGGACAGTGCGGCGGCTAAACGAGCTTGGAGGGCCTCATTGTCGGCACGGAGGTTGGTGTTCTCTGCTCGGAGTGCATCCACTTCGGCGAGCAGGGAGTCGAGTTTAGCGAATTTCGCTTCGTAAGTGGAGACTTGGGAGGTCAGGTGAGCCATTTGGGCACATAAAGCCTCAAATTGGTTGGCGTTGGGTGATGGCATGGAGGGGAAATTGGCCGCCATCGGGGTGTCAATAAAATTTGTCGGGTGCGGGCCGGACACAAAAATTGGGTCTGGGTTCGAAAAGACAGGGGGCAAAGCGGGAGCAGTAGTAGGCGAAAACAGACGAGAGGTTTCGTTCGTACGATTCACTTTTGTAAAATTAGCGATATTGAGAGGATGGGTCGGTGGAAAAATCTGAGATTCGGGCAGGTATGTCTAGCCAAACAGATGTACGATGTTGCAAAGGATGGCTGGTGGATGGATAGGTTTGAGGTGTGGATGGGGCGTTCGCAATTTCGGGTAAACGTTTTCCCGCCTATAAAAACGAGAAAAATGATAAAAACCAGAAAGAGAGGCTCGCTTAGCTCAGTCGAAAATGTATATGTTTATTGAGGGGTATGGCCTTAATGATTATGAAATCGATATCGGCTACCCTATGGGACAATTAAGAAATAAAACGAAAAAAACATCTATAGATCACAAAAAGATGGAAGAAAAAAAGTAGGGTGAGAGAGTAGAGGAACACAGGCTACTAAGCTACCTTTCACTACATGGTCCCCTCCGCAACGTGCTTAGATGGTGTCGCAGTGGGAGGAAGATGCCAGAGGCAGTTCCAGGCGCGATTCGCGAGAGGCAGTAGGAGGCGAGAGGTCTATCCAGACTTGGCCGGGGGTAGGATCACTTGTGTAATCTCCGTCAGGGTTACAGAGCTGGTCAAAGTGCCAGAGGATGGTGCAAAGGTCTGACCAATAAGTTGGTGCCGAGGCGGAACGTGAGAGAGGCAGTTGATTCAAAACGTAATCAATGCGAACGCCAGGAAAATTTGGAACACAGGATGGAAGGGAGAACCAAAGTTGGGAAGGGACAACAGGGCACTCCATGAGATGGGAACGGGTGGTAGTACTGAAGCCACAGCGACAAGGACGAGGTTTCCCCGGTAGCCAGCCCATACGCCATCGCACTAAGCGGCTACGATCAGCTCGCGAAGCAGGGACGTAGAGTATTGGATCCACTATCAGGGTAGGGCGGCAGGCTCGAATTAGAACTCTTTGGGTACTGGCCAGGAAAGCAGTGAAGTGACGTTGCCGATAATTGCGTAGCCATGTGGTAAGGCGTGAGGAAGACATCTGTTCAGCAGGATGATCGACCACAATTGGACGTTCTTGGAGGCGTGACAGCAGTGACAAACGCACAGACGAAGAAACAAGAGGCATGAGGCAATCATCGGGCAGGTAGCTCATCCGCAGGCAGAATTTCAGGACCAAGGTATCAGCGCGGAATGACATGCTCGGGAGGTTGCAGATGTGAACCAGCACTTGAGTAGAAGCACTCTTATGGCCGCCCACTATCATTCGAAGGCATCGGTCTTGGACACGTGCAAGCTCTTTATAATCTTTTTGGAGTAAGTGGGCGATAGCAAGCCCATATTCCAGTTTGGGCCGGATGAAAGTTGCGTAGATTCGTGCTGAAAACAAAAGTGGGAAGCCATTGCGATTGAGACCCATAGCGTTAAGCTGGGACATGGCCAAAAAAGTGCTGCGTGCTCGATGTCGGATCAAAGCAGAAGTGGCGAGACCTTTGGAGTTGAACGGAATCCCAAGATATATAAATTCATCCACTGCAGGGAGCATATCACCATACAGGGAGAGATGGACAAAGCTACGAGAAGTGGGTACAGGTGCATTCAGGATGGCACATTTTGGCGGACTCCATTTATAGCCCAGGACATGAGCATGAGTTTCAGCAAGAGTGAGCATGTGTTGTACCTCGCGAGCCGAGCCAACCAAGGCGATGTCGTCCGCATACAACAGGCAGTTGATGGGAGTCGGTGAGGCAATGGGGTCACTGTCAGATGGGATGGGTCCAAACGGCAAGCCGTTGGGCGCAGAAGCATCATAGAGAGGTGGTCGCGATGGTGAAATGGAGGGCACTGTGGTGGTCGAAAGAGAGGCGGCAGAGCGCAAAAGAGCAGGCAGAGTGTTAATATATAAAGAATAGAGAAATGGACTGAGGACGGAGCCTTGTAGCACACCAGTAGATGGGGTGAAAGGCGTGGAGGCATGGTTTTGCAAAAGAACTGTGACGGAGACATCATCAAACATGTGCGCTAGAAGCGAGACGAGTACAAGAGGCGTGGAAGAGGCAAGGAGGGTCTGCCAGACAATTCGACGGTCAACAGTATCGTAAGCGGCCTTGATGTCCAAGAAAGCAACAACAGGGTAGTGGTTGTGACGATCTCGGTAGGCGCGCATCAAGTCGTGCAAGCAGAGGGCTTGATCCAGGGCACTACGTTGATGTCGAAAACCGCCTTGTGCGACGTCCAGGGATGGGGCTGTGATTTCCAATGCTGGTAAGAGAATCATCTCGAAAAGTTTGCGTACAATCGAGGTCAGAGAAATTGGACGAAAGTGGGCAGGGTCGTTGGGGGCACCTTGTTTGTGGATAGGAACTACCTGAGCATGACGCCACACTGTGGGAGTATAGGACCATTGGGTACAAATGGTAAACAGGTGGGCAAGCAAGGGGGCAAGAGAGTCTGCGATCGGGAGTAACATTTCGGCACGTAAGTCATCGGGACCTGGGGCTTTTCGTTGTGATAGGCGTTTCAAGGTGGCAATAATGTTCTCTTTGGTAAACGTGTGCGAGAGAGAGGTAGAGGCGATGTCGAAGGGAAGCGATTGGCTGGTGGCAGACAGTGGAGGAGGTCGGGCAATTGGCAGATGCTGGCCAGAGTAGACGTTCGCCATATGGTTGCGGAGGACTTGGGCACCAACCGCAGGGCCATCGGGATGTGTAAATCGCACCTGTTGGTTACGGCGGTTTCGGATACTTTTGACGGTCGCAGTTGCACGAGAGAAATCGCCGCGGGCCAATTTATCACAGAATGCACGCCAAGCCTGACGCTTAGCATAACGCACAGCACATCGGAAACGGGCAGCAGCATGTTGGAGGCGATCCCACCAGGGGACTTTGTCAAGCCCAATGGCTCGATGCCATCGACGGTAGCAACGTTCACGTTCGTCAGCAAGAGCCTGTAGCTCTGCATTCCAAAACGATTTCCAGGAAGGAGGCCGAGGGGCACGCCGGCACACCGATTTGTCCAATGCAGTATAGATAAGATCGTTAAGATCGTGGTTCAGCTGGTCAATCGGGGGTCGGGTAGGAGGCGGATCATGGGAAAGGTCCCGGAGTTGGGTAGAGAGAGGTGCCGACAGGCAGCGAAAAGTATCAATGTACAGCTTGTGTACGTCCGTTTCGTTCAAGCGCGAGAGGTTCCAGAGACGGCGACTTGATGAAGAAGGAGGGATCGTGTTGACCGAGGCATTGGGGTCACGGTACGGGAAGGATAAGGCCATCAGCTTGTGATCGGAGCCAAGATGCAAAGCAGAATAGATGTGGAGCGATGAAGACGAAAGGTGAGGCATATTTGTAATGAAATAATCAACGATGCTGCTATGGAGCTGGTCGTTCCGGTAGTTGAGGAAGGTAGGAATGCCGTATGCCAAAGAGATGTTGAGGATTTGAAGGTTGCGTTCTTCCACCCAGTCTTGGAGGAGGGGTCCGCGGGTATTTGAACGATGGTCACCAGTGAGGGGGCCCAGGCGAGCATTTAAATCGCCACAAATAATAGTGTCTTGGGTCAGTGGGATAGCGTTCAAGGTAGCAAGGACTTCATCAGAGGACAGAGAGGGCGGCAGATACAGGCAAATAATGCGTAACGAGGTACCGATCTGTAGCCCGAGGGCATGTGGAGACGGTATGGGAAATTGCAGAATGTGGAAAGGAAAGCTGGGGGAAACAAGAGCAGAAATACCATGGGAACCACGGAAATTACCCGCAACAGGGCTACCATATAAATGGTACTGGGACCAAGAAGTACGGAGTCGAGCTGGAGAGATTAACCAAGTTTCGGTGATAAAAAGTAGAGAAAAGGACTGGCAGTGTTGGAGGATGTCATCGACTAAGGAGGCTTGGAGACCATTGGCATTCCATAAGCCGATGCGAAAGGGGGTGGTGGAAACAGGTGGGGTTGGAGATGGGAGCGTTAGGAGATGAGTGGCAAGCGAGGTTGACGAAGAAGGAGTGAATGTGTTGTGTTGATTAATCATTTTTTTTTAAAGCTTGCCATTGCTGGCAGGTGCGCGTTCATGTTTGGCGTCGGCCATATCAGTATCAGGATCAGTGTCGTCTTTCTCGGTAGTATCAGTGTTGGTAGGGGGCACAGGAGCACCACGACAGCGACTCAGAAGACGAGAGACATCATCAGTATCGAAAATGTTGGCTTCCAGGAAAGAGCGGGCAATGGGGGAGGCAAGGTGATATGGAAGACGGAGCACTGCTTTTTCGCATCGTGCAGAATGGAGAGACTCAGCAAACGCTTGTTGATCTGCGAGGGACATCTGCTTGACTTCAGGATCAGCCATGTGGATGGGGTCACAGGGATCAAAGTCGTGGATCACCAGGATATTATGCTGACCGAGGGTCTCCTCTACGAGCGCACGGTATTGCACATGGATCAGGAGGCCGACAACAGAACGAACGGGGAAAGTGATGTCAAGCACACGGTATGGATCAACGCCCAGACGGCGAAGACGGGTACGGGTTTCGTGGCGGGTAAGGCGGCGAGATCGAGGAATATACAAGTACTGGAAGCCACTTGGGCCGTCGGTAATCTGAAAGGTGCGAGCATCTGAAGCCCGAGTTTTGGGCTTAGGTTTAGGTCGGACAGGACGGTACTTTTTGGTGACTGTAGCCCACTGCGAGGCGTCAGAACCCATGGGTGCAGAAGGGGTTGAAGTTGGGCGGGTTGCAGTCTCAGTATTAGGGGCAGAAGTGGATACAGTAGGCTTGGAGTAGAAAGTGGAAACGCTAGCGGTAGCGGCAGCAAGTTGGGCTTTCAACTGGGCATTTTCATTACGGAGTTGCTGATTTTCTTCGAGTAGGTGGCGGATCTGGTCGAGTTCAGTACGGTGCGTAGTGACTTGCGCAGTCAGGTAATTAATTTGGGCCTGCATGGCCGCAAATTGGTCAGGGGAAGTTGTGGACATCGGATGGAGATGCGTCGTCGGCGAGCGAAATTCAAAATTTGAGTCCGGTCCGGACACAGAAGGCGATGCGAGTTTCGAAGCGGTTGCCGGAAAACGAGATTCGGCGATGGAACTGGCTGAAATTAACGTTGTGTTTCTTTGATACACTTTTCTTGAATTGGAGATATCTCAGAGAAGAACGATGGTAACGATTTCAAACTTCAGAAATAGGTCGGTAGGGGGTGGATGCACGATATGGCAAAGGATGTATGATGGATGGAAGGGATTTAAGTGTGGGTGGAACAGGTGTAATTCCGGCTAAAAGTTTCCCCGCTATAAAAACGAGAAAAAAGTGATGAAGAGCGGAAAAAGGGTGCTCGCTTAGCTCAGTTGGTTAGAGCGTGGTGCTAATAACGCCAAGGTCACAGGTTCGACCCCTGTAGTGAGCAATTTTTTTCGGCTTTGTCTACTCATTTCTTTTTTTTTGTTCCCTTTTGTGTCGTTTTCGAGGTTTGCTGAATCTATTCCGAGTACTGGTTCCACGGACGATAGAAGAAATAAACTAGAATTGGAGGATAGATGATTGATTCTTTATTCGTTTTGATCGAGGGGATATTTATATGGTTTTGGGTTCATAATAATTTCGTAATTAGGCTTGGCAGGGTATTTTGGTTCTGAATGCTCAGCCTTTCGGCCGAGCTGTTCGATAAAGGAAACGCTGGCTTGAAGGTCATTACCAAAAACGAAAATGTTGCCGTGAACGTTTAGGAAGTACCAAAAAAGGATACGACATCTTGACGCATCGTTTTCCACAGAGAATAAAAGCAAATTAAACGTAGAAGATTTTTTTTATTAGGGGTGAATGAACGTATGTCCGCTGCAAGACGATCCATCGTCCTGGGATGTCTAGGAAATGTACAATTGGAAAAATCAGAAGAGGAAAAACAAATATGATTTTTTTATTAAAGGTGCATGAACACGCGTCCTTTTCAGATTATTGCTCGCCCCGGAGCGTTCTAACAGGAAAACCGCATAGGAAAAGAAAATAGAAGGCATCCTGAGGAGTTTGAGAAGCAGGAAGGCAGAAAAAGAAAAGAAAAAGAGACAGGGGTGTCGAGTTATTCAGTACCATGGGATGAGATGAGCCAACGTAGAAACTCAATGCCAGGAGAAGGGGAAGCTAAGTGAGTCAAATCATCACTAGAATGAGCTTGTCAAGTTCAAGGAAAAGGAAAGACAGAAGTACATAATCATTACATTGGGAGTGGGGTTCGGGAGGAGGTATAATCCGAGACTGAAAATGTAAACAACAAGATGTTAAATGGTGGCGTCTAGTACAGTACGTGCGTAGCCACAGTGGACGTGTTCATCAGGAGCCATTGACGGCGGTGGCAGAGGAGCAACTGCATTCATGGTTGGGCATTGGCAGGAAATGGATCGGGCCAAGGCCTATATGCGGGCAGCAAGCGGAGAACAGGATCCGGGAGGGAAGGGGGTTATGAGGAGCACGGCTTTGTCGAGTTCTTGTTACCGGAAGTGTAGAAAAGTACGAGCAAGAGGATTTTCGGGCAGTGTCTTGAGGGGATGCCGACGTTTGATTCCGTATCACGTTCGTTCTTCGTCATTTGCACCCAAGGAATTGTTCCGTCAAAAGAGGAAGCAGAGCAGTGAAAACGTGCATCAGATGGCAGATGGAAGGAATGAACAAGAAACTTGAAATCAGATACATGGAGTGTTGACTGAGGAGGAGGGAGGTTGTTGGTGACATGGTGTAGAACTTGTGGACGCGGTGCGATTAATGTCAGTAAAACTCTTATGCCAAATAAACGAATAAACTATGAATTAAATGCCATTTTGAAATTAATCAATTTATACCCACGCAAGGTTTGCGAGTATTGCTCGTTCCAACGGATGCAGGGAGCAGTGAAAAAAAAAAAAAAAAAAATGGAGAGCACGAACACTATAATGATACAGGAAGTGCCATTGCTGTGGGTACACCGTAATGAATATCTGAATGCAAAAGGGGACCTTCAGCTCTTAACTATAAGCTATTGGGTGCATCAAAAGCAGCAGAGAAGTATAAAAAAGGCGCGGTAGATAGAATAGTTCCGTATTGAAAAGCGAAGGCAATTTCCGTTGCCCACTGACCAGTTGTTTGCGACGCTATATTAACAACGACACGCTATGAATCGTTAACCGTAGGCGTCTTTGAAGAGTCTGATGGAAACGGCATGAAGCAAAAGCTTAAAATTAGTTGTAAGACGATGAACATTCTGGTAACAATGTCGGCTCCGTTGCGTTCACAAGATAGACTTGAAAAGTTTTTTGTTTGCTTCTTTGAGTTCTGCTCTATTACACCCTCCCCCCGCTTTTTTTTTACTGTGTATCGCAGTAAAAAAAAAACCTAAAAATTCCCTGTATTTCCGATTCGTTGTAAGGTATCAAAATAGTTCTTTTGTTTGCTTTTTTGGGGTTCTTCTCTGCTCTATTATCGCCCCCTTTTTTCTACTGTGCATCGCAGCAAAAAAACCAAAGATTCTCGATTGCTTCTTGCATTACCCCCCCTTTTTTTTTTGTACATCGCAGCTGATGCGATGATACTTCTCACGAGATTTCCCAACAGTGACTGGCTCAACAGCAGTCCATCAAAAAAGTCTTTAAAATGGACATCCCACCGCGTCTGCCAAAGTTCTTTCCTTTTCCCCGAACCTCCATTCTACCTTTCAAGGTCATCTTTTTCTCCGAGGTTGTCTTTTTTTTTTTTTTTTTTTTTTGGATCGAACTGAAGGTAAGCTCAAGGCTGTTGATCCTTTAAGAATAGCATTTTGTAATTCTAATATGATTTTCCTATAATTAGTTTCTTCAACTGGCCCACCATCGACGGTTCCGGCGCGTGCTCTTCACGTTCGACAAGCGCTGAACAGTACTGCGTAGTCCGTCCTGGCCCACTTGGTTGGTTTTTCCGGGCAACGAAGGCCTGTAGATGTTTACAGGTAAGCCAGCTGCATCAACATTTTTTGCTATATAGTCATACTGACTTGCTTTTTTTCTATTTTTCGTCTGGCTGCCACATTTTTTGACTTTTGATCTTTTTCCCAATTTGTTTCGTTCAATCTGATTTCTCATTGGTTGCTTCTCCATTTTTTTATTGGTCATTTGAACACCGATTTTTTTGTGACTTCAAAAGTTGAATAAACTGCAGATAGGATACTTGCAAAATTTCGGTATGACGCGCTTTTTGCCGACAACATGACACAAGACAATCTGACATGGCGAGCATAAGTTCAAGTTTGGAATCTGATTTTGAATTTTAATAACTATTTTTTATGACCTCCTTAAATGTTATTAACATTAACAAGCCGTACACCCGCTGTGCAATGGATGCCGCCTGCCACCGGAGGCCGCCCTCTTACATTGAGCGACTTTCGTCAGACAAAAAGCCTAACGCATACACGGCATAACCTGGGCGAGAACTCTTGACGGAACTTCGGTATATTAATGACAACCTTATGGCATACGTTGCAACGTGATTTGTTTCTGAACACGCGCAAAGCAGCACTGATTGACCCCCTCAGTTCCATCCCGCCCAGGCTATGACAGATCTAGAAAGATGTGTGAGTATGTTGGGTATTTAAAAAAATGAGTTAGTAAGCTCTTTGATTGATTTAAATTTTCGTCAAGATATTTTACCTTTGTTATTTGAGTTTTCGATAGCCATTGATCGCTTGACATGACTTGGATTCTATGACATTGAAAAATTTTTGAATTAGTATACGTTCACTACATCATAGCAAAGGAAAAGTAATTGACTTACCTTTGAACCAAATGGTGTACCGGAAGAAACAAAGATGAATACGGACCGCCAGGTAAGCTTCTTCTTCGATGCGGAAAATAAAATTGCTTCCAGGGACGGTTAAGCGATGGATCGGTGGTGTCAGCTTGAGCAGGCAAAAAATATTGACGTGGCCAGAAGTGACGGTAATTTCGAGTTGGATTCCAGATATCGAGAGTCCCCCGAATAAAAAGAAAGAAGAACAAATAAAGTACATGATGATAAAAAAAACAATGATCGCGTCAGTAAAAACCTCCTAAAAAACCTTGTGGGAAAAAAAGAGGAAAAGACTGCGAAAAGAATATGTACATGAAATATAAAATACAAAATACAATAATCGGGAAGACATCTCGAATACCATATGATGAGAAGCAATCCAAAGGAGAGGAACATGAAGAGGACACGTAAGCGTTTTTCTGATTAAAAAGAGAGCCACACCACCAACGATGGCCTTTGACGTCATCCGGTTTCGCCAGATGGATGGATGGATGGTGAGAGAAAGTGAACTTGTAGTATCCAGAACTTGTCAGGCGAAAAGAAAACAGAGATAACCGGAAGCTAAAAGAAGGATGGAAAAAAAAGAGAGGTAAGTCTGATTTGCCGCAGCAAAATTGATGGTGGGCAACTCGATGCTTACCTTTTTGAGGATGGTGGTCGATTTAACCAAGTTAGATATACGGGATAAGAATGGTCTGGATGATGGATGCGGATGGGATCTTGATACAATGATAGTGAGGGTTTATCAAGCAAACAGAAAGAGAGAGAGAAAATCAAAAGAAAAAAGATAAGATTGAAGACAAAAATATATGGTTTTCCATGGATGAAACAATAGTCACCCCACTGATGCATGAATTCATAGATCGAAGCACGTCTGCTTATGTATTATTCGATTCATTGAAAATTGAAAGAGAATGAAAGGACATATACAGTATAACTGACAAAAACAAACAAATTGAATGATGCCACAGAAGAACGCCACTGCTTTGAATTCCTTAACTTCCCTACTGATGGCATTGTGAAATATGCCAAAGAAAAAGGAAAGGAAAAAAGGTAGGAACTTGGATAATCAGTCTCCTTGAAAGAAGAGGTAGCTGAACTATAACACGAATGCCAATTGATAAGTTACCGTGGTTATAACAGATGGATCCCGCCCCATTGAAGCTGCATCGGGTTGTATGGAATAAAAAAAAAATCGCGTAGCTACTGATTGCAAATTTTCAAAGTCATCCGGGAAAGATTTCCATCTTGTCACAAACTCAATTTTGATTGGTCTAAGCATTGGCTGTGAGTTGTTGAGCTGTGACCGGGTCCAAGTTTGCCATCAGAAATCGGAAATACGAAGCGAGTTGAAACTGTCAGCCTTCAACTCTGAACACTTTTTCCCATTTGAAGTATGGCCTTTGAAGGGGAAGAATCATTCGCAGATGCCCCGGAGCAGCCGATTCCACAGGCTTCCGTTCCACCATCGCGAAAACTTATCGTCGTATTGGAGAATGCTTCATTAGAAGCGGCCAGACTTCATCCCTACCGTTACGATACGAAAATGCAGCTCTTAAACTGTGATGAACATCAATCGATCCTGAAAAGATTGGGTAGAGACATTGCTGATGCTCGACCAGATATTGTGCATCAGGTAAGAAGTGACATCAACTGCTTTCCAAAACTGTCAAAACTAACACTGTGTCAAGTGTCTTCTTACCCTTTTAGATAGCCCGCTCAACAAAGCAGGCCATTTGGAGGTATGAACTTGTCTTTATTAAGGAGCTTTATATCCTTGCTTTGCATGTATTCCTCGAAAATTAACTTGCCACTAGGTTTTTATTCACACAGCTAAAGGTGTAGTCATCCGAATTAATCCAGAATGCCGTATACCACGTACAATCAAACGATTCTCAGGGCTTATGGGTGAGTCCCAGTGTTATATGGTTCAACAGACGGAAGAACTGATGATTTATTTTCTTCAGTGCAATTGTTGGAAAGAGGCAGCATTGTTAGCGATCAAGAAGGCCATGTCAAGTTATTGGAGATTGTGCCTCCTCCAGTGACTCAGTATTTGCCAACAAATGCGAAGCGATTTGGTAAGTATTGGTCATGGTCTGTCTGTTTCTAAAGAATATTTGGATCTAATGTAGCTGTCAGCATTATCGTGGAATGCTCCAAAAGTTAGACTATATCGGTACTTTAAATCAATACCAGAGGAGGGACCACTCGTGATTGCCGTTGGAGCCATGGCAAAAGGACCAGATACATTTGCAGACAGCTATGTAGACACCAAAATCGGTAAGTGATGCTTTTTGCTAGTCTGTTGGCGTTTTTTTTTTCTCTTCGCTTATGTTAACGCAAAATACGTAAAATAGGAATATCCGAGTTTTCTCTATCAGCTTCAGTTGCATGCGCAAAAGTATGTTGTGCTTTAGAGGACTTATGGGATGTAATGTAAATAAGACAAACTATTTTTTTATTTTTATTTTTTGGGGGGGGGGGCGGTTTATGCACTGTTTGTACGAAAAAGTCCACCCAAAAAGGCATGTTACCCACACACTGTTAAAATAGTCTCTGTAACATTGCCTTTTCCGGGCCATTGCCACATCCTGTTCTAAACGACAATCTACCCAAAAAAGGGGACGTTGCCCACACACTATCCGACAGTATATAAAATAGTACGATTGCTCTGAGTTTTAATTTAGTTATATCCTGTCACAGCTAAAAAATAATCTACAGTATGCCTTGTCGCTGTGCAAGTACGGATCATCGAAGGATTACGAGCTCGTTCTCCGTTGAAGCTCAGGAATACAACTACTGAACAATTCATTCAAGAGCAGCCATTTATTCAAGAAGCACAAGCGCAGCAGTTTTTTCATGTCTCTCCACAATGTATATACACTTTTTCTTGATAATTTTTCAAAATGTATTTTTTTAATTAAATTAAAGAAATTCTCGAAATCCAAATAGACCTTACGAGACGCTGCCAATGTGGAATAACGGATCATCAAAGAATGACGAGTTCACGGTGTCCATTGAATCGCATGAATACAACTACTGAGTTTATTCAAGTCACCCAACAAGGTATTTTACATATTCTCTTGGCAGCAGTTTATTCAAAATTATGCCATATTATATACATTCGGCTTGGATATTTTCAATTTCTCAGATCCCGATAGTTCTACTTTGTCAATGTGGCGGTACAGACCACCAAAACGTGTCAAGCTCGCTCTGTCCTTTAAACCTTGGAAATATGATAGATGACGTTGAGGATACCGTTCCACTTGCGCCAGTGCCTTCAATTATGGAAGGTATGGATGTTTCTTCAAAACTCCTCTGACATTGCATGCATTAAGTTTACATTTTCCCATTATGTGGCTACCAGTTGAGCCAGCCGACGTTGAGGATACCGTCCCGCCTGCTCTTGTGTCTTCAACTACGGAAGGTATGTATTTTCTTCAAAACTCCTTCAAACATGGCATGCATAAGAGCTTATATTTTCCAATTACGTAGTAGGACCATCCCACAATACTGCCCAAATCTCCTTTGAAGAATTTCAAGGAGGCGCCTCAATTCGAGGTCCAAACGTCAACGTTGATGGAGTAATGGATAATGGCAGCATGGCCTTGGTCTGTGTTTCCTGTGGAGCCAAAGGCTGGGAGGCCGAAAAAGTAGCTGGAACCCGTCAAGAACCTCGGTTGGCCATTTGCTGAAACCAGGGAAAGGTCCAGTTGCCCGTCCTTCAGCCATCTCCTGTAAGAGCTGCGACAATTGCTCACCGGCCAAGACGCGATCTCGGTTTATCCATTACATCCGAAAGTACAATACCCTTTTTGGGTTTACTTCGATTGGTGTTGAGATATGTACTGTACATACATCGCAGTAAAAAAACAAAAATTCTCGATTGCTTCTTGTGTTACCTCCTCTGTTTTCCCGAGTGGTAAGGTATCAAAATAGTTCTTTTGTTTGCTTCTTTGCGGTTCTGCTCTATTACCGCCCCCTTTTTTTTTGAGATTTCCGAAAAGTGGCTGGCTCAACAGCAGTCCATCGAAAAAGTCTATAAAATGGACATCCCACTGCGTCTGCCAAAGTTCTTCCCTTTTCCCCGAACCTCTATTCTACCTTTCAAGGTCATCTTTTTCTCCGAGGTTGTCTTTTTTTTTTTTTTTTTTTGCATTGAACTGAAGGTGAGCTCAAGGCTGTTGATCCTTTAAGAATCGAAATTTGGAATGCTAAATATGATTTTCATATAGTAGTTTATTCAACTGGCCCACCATCGACGGTTTCGGCGCGTGCTCTCCACGTTCAACAAGCGCTGAACAGTACTGCGTAGTCCGTCCTGGTCCTCTTGGTTGGTTTTTCCGGGCAACGAAGGCCTGCAGATGTTTACAGGTAAGCCAACTACACTCAACATCTATTGCTATACTGCCATACTGACGTGCTCTTTTTCCATTTTTCGTCCGTCTGATCACATTTTTTGGCTTATTTCTCATTGTTTGTCTCCATTTTGTTATTTATCATTTGACACCCGATTTTTTATTTTTATTTTGTGACTCCAAAAGTTGAATAAACTGTATTAAAGCACTCTAAAAAGGCCGGCTGGATTTGGAGAAAGTTTTGCAAGCCATTACCTTTTTTTTACAGGCACAACCACACTGAACATTTTTTTTTTTAAAAAAAAACAACGAAAAAATGGGCATGGCGAACTGCTTGAAAACGCTTTGGCTTTGACTTTTTAAAAACTCACTATCATACTCTACACTGTATATTGCCGTTATGAAAGTACCAGTCACCAATAATCAGGTTCTCATGGTGTTCGTTGAACCCCAGAATAGGCATTTCCCATTATATCAAAAACTCGACGTAATATGGAGGGCGATCGTCTTTTGGACAAGTGTATGAGGTTTGATAGGGTCTATTGTCGTTTCTCATCATCAAAGCACACAGATCGATTCAATCTGGGGAGCACTTTTTACGTGTTAACCTCAGATTTTGACGCATATTAACATAAACACCTGTTTGCAAGTCCATGGTGCCTGAAGCATAGCTGGAATATGATCTGACATAAGATCGAACGTAATCCTAGACACCCAAGCACCAAGTTTGAGCATGTGTATCACAAGCACAAATATGATACTTTATTTATCATCAAAATAAAATTTATCAGTACTAGTTGGCCCACATGTTTTATGCATTTGATAAAGTGGACTTTGTTATCAGTCTTGGGTGGAGGATTTACTATGCATTACGGCAATTTCGAAGTCAGCAACGCCAACCGTCATAACAGCCCAAAAGCACCTTTAAAAGACAAAATCGACGTCTGGAACCAAACAAGTGTCCTTTCCAGATACTAGAATACCCCATGAACGCATTAAATCCAGCATGTTAGTTTGTCTTTAACGTCTGGAGGTTTACCGCTTGAAGCTCCATTGGCGTGAGCAGCACAGACCGTCCAAAAATTGCGAGTCACGCAATAGATATAAAGCATGAGAACGCTGGTTTTTTTTCTGGTAAATCTTCCTCTTTATCTTTATCTCCTCATTTCCTAAAACTGTCTCATCATTTCTTCCAAAAAAGTTTCTGTTATCAAAACCTCCATCAAGGCCATCGGCTGGCGCGAAGAGTTCATCCAACCGTTGCGTGAGCTCGTAGCTCTCGTCCATAACCTCACCAAACACACTTTCCTATTCGCGAAATACACTTTCCTGTCAGAGTTGTCAAAAAACGATGGGTTCGAGCTTCACGCTTACGTCCAAGAAGGCTTTTTCGTTGAAGTCTTCCTCTCGGTCACAAACAGACGCACGAGAAGCAGCACCGTCAGAGCGGCGACCAGAACCTATCGCGATCTGATCAATCCGTATGTCGAATCGTTTTGCCGCCACGCATCGTTCGCGCCACCAGATCTACCAAACGCCCAGCAAATTGCCCTATATCAAGCAAAGCAGATATATACCGCTTACATTAATAATATCAAAGAACGATTTGGACAGCATTTGCGGCGATAAATTTATCTGCTTCTTTACATAAAAAACCGGCGAAACAACCTTAAAGCACTATTGCAAAACGAGAGCTTATCTCAACGTGAAACATCAGCAAGACTCACAACAGAAATCTACGAGCCCGCAAGGAAGTTCAAGCTTGATATCGCAGGAAAAATTTCGCGCATTGATTCTCCACTTCAGGCACACCATGATTTCTTGCAACCATTTTTCAGTTCCTACGCATCGACATATCAATTCGCGAAAGATAGTATTTATTACGATGTTAAAGCTTCCCCCAAAAACCAGTTTCTTGCATCTTATCGATATCTTGCTTATTTTCTCAACGAGGTTGGCGCTCCTTCACTTGCTTTCCGATTCGTACTGCCTGGTCGCCGCGGTACATGCAAATCGATGCGATGCTCCTTTGCACACACATTCTCCAGATGAGCCAGCGAAGCTTCGCAAAGTCCAGCAACCTCGATCTGTGGAGCCGAGTCGTGGATCTTGACAGCAGACCTTTCAAGCAAACGAAGAGCAAAGGTTTGTTATTTTATGGGACTCTGCAGACTGATGGCGTAGGGGTGAGTGTCATCAAACAAAATTTTCCAAGTCGCAAAGCAGGCCGGCAAAAAAAGGCGAAGGTTCTAGACGAAGATGTACCGTACGTTGACTCGCTTGCTCCAATTGAGCAAAGATGCCTGGAGGGCCGCTGTGTGTTGGTCGACCCAGGACGAAGAGATTTGCTTTTCTGCATGCACGCGTACTCTGAACCAAACGCAAGGATCCTCTATCTTTACACCTCCTGCCAGAAGACGAAAAAGTACAGAAGGATCAGAGAAAATTACTTAGCCAATTGCCAAATGTCACGACTGCGCAGGAAAAATTATCACAGCATCCATTTCAGTCAATGACCTCGAGACGTATTGTCACAATCGACGGAAAACCGCAAGCGTATCTCGGGTACTATCGAATTTTTAAGCGAACACAACATCAAATCTATTGGGATGCCCTCTATCCGAAAACTACGACTCTCAGCCTATTTCAATTAATGCCGAGCAGATTCTCGATTGGCGAGAACCATAAATTTGTGCTTTGGGTGGGATCAGGTTCACATGGGAAATTGGTCGGCATCAAATGTCAAGTTCCATGAGCCGATCAGAGGCGTAGGCATGCGACGGATGCTCAAAAAACAAGGTTTTGAGGTGTACTTGCTCGATGAATTTGAACGTCCTCGTGCTGTCCTGACTGCGGCGATCCGTTGGAAAAAATCAAGAAGGTACCCAATCCCAGGTCATACCGACGAACGAAGTAGCCAGAAGTATGACGCCATGGTCTGTTAAGTAACCGATGAATGAAAGTGGGATATTGAATGTGCTTGTTCACGCTTATCCTTAGATGTACAAATCAAAAATGTAAACATGATCATGGCTATAAATTATGGAATCGAGACTTGGCTGCAGTCCTTAATTTCCGCAAGATTCTGTTTGGCCACCGAGAGAATAACGAAAGACCGACACTTTTCAAAAGGAAGCGAGCCGAAGCGGAAGCCTCGAGTAGCAAGATTCCAAAACATTCATGATATCATCCGGATCAGTTATCGCTGTTCCCACACCTAGATGCCCTCGGGGTAAGTGGATTATTTATTTCCCAAAATTTGCCTCACATGATAATTCATGCCTTGGTTTCTATTCATAATCCACTAGTAAGACAAACAAAAGGATTACCGTAAGAAACTACGATCCAACCTAGCGAACAGGCATATTTTCTTTCTTTCTGCATTTGTGTACAATTTGAATTCAATATTACAGTAAAAATCCATATCGATCTCAAAGCGTCGTTCATCACAATTTTACCTTTTAAGAGCTCTGTACACTTGTTGCACAACTTCCAACCATAGATTATCGATGTAAAATATCCAACATCGTGGCATAATCGGAGACACCACAACGTAGATGACACTTTATTTCTAAAAGACTCAGACTGCCTGCATTCATTGAAACAGAACCATTTGATAAGGGTGAACATGGGATTTCAAAATCCGCAATGCAATCCTAGGCAGCGCTCCCTACAACCCATTAATTTACTCTTTTCCTTCATTTGATAAAACTCTTGATGCATTATTCAGAGGAAGCACGAATTGGGCGTGCTAATCAAATATATGATGACAATGATGTTCGACAGGTATACTCAATACTTTGCCATTCTAGTTGTTGAGAAAGTAGCAATAACTTCAAATCATTTTTCATTGCAGGTGGCGGGATGCTTACCCATTGATCCCCGCACTAAACGAATACTTCTCATCTCAAGTAGTAAACATGAAGGAGTCTGGGTCATTGTAAGTTGGAATTGTTCAATTTGGTTGAATTCTTTATGACTAATAATTTACTCTAGCCGAAAGGGGGCTGGGAGAACGATGAAACCCAAGTAGAGGCGGCTTTACGGGAAACATGGGAAGAAGGTATATCGTTAAAAAGTTGACGTCCATATTAGCTGTCAGCGCTAACTAGAGCATGGAACAGCCGGAGTGCGCGGAGTCATTTCCGGGTTTTTAGGGTGCTTTTATGACAGCAACAAAAAGGGTCAAGCGAAATCACAATTTTGGATATATGAACTGCTTGTGGATGAAATCATGAAAAAATGGCCTGAGAAGAAAAAACGTGAACGAAGATGGGTATGATGCACGCCGTAGTAAATTGCATGTATCAGTTGCGATTTGATAATGACTGTCATGACCTCTTGTAGTTTACTTTTGATGAAGCCATCACTGTGCTTGCACCAAAGCCCTTTATGCAAGATGCAGTACGAAAAAGTTCCATTGCACCAAAGCTAGCAGCCAGCCCTGCTCGTTCATGATGCTATGTATAGCATCCATACGGCTTGTTTAAAAATAAACATTGTCTGAGTGACAAATAAATATGCCACAATTCTTTTCAGTTACACAAAGGACAATAAACTTTCGGAAAATTGGCTTTGAAAACATCTTGGAGGTCAAAATATGAGAACAGTTTATAATATCGGTCAGTAAAGTTATGGACAAGGATAATCATCGGAAATAGGAGAAGAAGGATTGCATAAAGGGAACAGCGAATACTAGGACTTAGTTATGAGCAAGAGAGCAATTGGTCAAGGCCAAATGGGCCATGCGTCGGTCAGCCGTCGCTAGCAGAGCGTCTTTGTACGAGACCTGGATCAAATGCATGTCAGACACATTTTCGCTACTATCATCCCCACCAATTTTATTACTTACCCAGAATCGTTGGCGATCTGACGCCGGCCACGTATCCATAAGGGTGGAAGCATGCACTTCATACATCCAATGGTGAGCAATGATGTTACCCTTCTTATTCGCTTCGGTGTAAGTGCCTACACGACAGTTTAAGCCGTTGGTGGAGACACCAGCTTCTTCATGAAGCACACGCAAAGCTGCAGCTTCAGGTTGTTCTTGCGTATCTCGATTGCATTGGCCTCGTGGTAAGCGAAGGGCACCCTCCTGCTTACGGCTGGAAAGCATCAACACCTTCTTAGTCGCAGGATCAATAACGATAATACCGACAGCCTACACACATCGCAATCAGACAACTCGTTTATCAAAAAGGTAGTTTCTGAAATCGTTACCTGACGAATGCCTTTCTTTTTCTTTCCTGTGCTATCTTTATCGGTGACCGAAGAATTGCTGGAAGCAGGCGACTGCGCGGTATCAAAGGTTGAGGGTTGTAGAGCGGGAACCTTGCCGTAAAGATCGGTAGGAGCAGGTGCAGGTGCAGTTGCGGCGGCCATTGGGAATTGAGTATTAAAGCAATTGAAGTAAAAAGTTAGGGTGCTGAATCAACGTGGCTCGCTCTTTTTATAATTGGTTCCGGAATTGTAAATGGAATAACGCCTACACTCCGTAATCATATCATTGTTGTGTGAGTTTTATCCGCAATGCGGTTACGGCGGATGAACGGAAGACAGGTCTCGCGCTGAGTACGATCCTATTATCTCAATTTACACATGGGACATGGAGCCCTTATATTTTTTTGTACACTGGCTTTGCCACAAAACGTTGCTTTTATTGCACGATGTTTATTCTTTAACGATGACTCCACCTTTTTTTATTTGAAGACGATTTTTTATCATCCCCAAACTTTTACTGTGCGATCACACGGGTGAACTGAAGCGAATAGAAACGTCTTATTGGACGGTCTGAAACCGCGTGTGTGTTGCTGTAAAAGGATAACACACGGTCTGTTACTTTTCACAAAATTTTTATTCCATGGATAGAATCTGGACAACCCCCATACTACTTCATTAAGGTTATATATAGTATAACCTACTCGAGCACGTTTAATTCGGCCACAACATTGTCTTTTTCTTTTTCCAGCTGCCCCTGGCATTCATGACCATGTCCCCAAATTTCCAATCTCCCTGGTAACCAATGTAAACTCCGCAGCTATTTTTTCTGTATCATTTGTTTCAGATGGGGAAGTTGCCAGAAACGATTAAATGTCCCAATAAAGGAAATTAAAACGGTAAATGGAGGCGAGGACACCCACCCTCAGGCTTTGACGCAATGGATATGATGGCAACGATTGATGAATTGAAAAGTACGCTGCTATCATCGAACATTATCAAGAAAACGTTTCCTGAAAGATATACGCTTAATCCTTCGCATTCGTATTAGTAAGTCGTTTCCGCGTATTGATTCAGCCGCTGCCGATGACACAAACGCCGCGTTTTTCGTCATCTCTGGACAAAAATTTCGACCAATTGGCACATTAATACATCATTCATCGGATTAATTCCGGAGCTGACAGATCAGGGGAGGAATGTCGACGAATATGTTACCGTGCATAAAGTGGCAAGTCGATATCCGTCTTGTTTCTCACACGATTGAACTCTACCGACAACATACCAGACCAACCATATTTTGTTATTGTTTGAGGTTTAGCTCAAGTCGCGAATCAAGTTCCTTACTGTTATGGAGCGTTGTTTGAATGATTTTCAGTGCATCGTCACTGGCAATTCCATTTGGAGTACTTATTGAGACTCACCCATGCAGGGACCTGTTTTGCAAAAAGAGAGAGCAGCAGAGTAAGTTACGCGTTTATTTGCAATCTTTCATGCATGTTTGTATAACTATCGACCGAAAACTATGACCTAGATCCTCAGTCAAGTAAATTTATTTCGAATATCTGCATCTTTGCGCGAACACTCCCACTTTCGCCGTGACAGAGTTACAAAGTCTGGAACATATTCGGCGATAACTTTTTTTTTCTGGTATCATAAACAATTCTTCTGACTCCATCTCGCTTTCCCACTGGTTCATTTTGTTTACCGAGAGCACGGTTCCTTTTTGTAATGCACAATTTCGCGCTGCAAGTTTGAATGCACATGCGGAATACTAGTCTCGAGTACTAGATATTAGGTTATTGTCATGCACAAACATCGGTGATGCAGCTGAGAAACGCCCTTTAAATAAAATAACAACGTTCTAGAGCGCAACTCCGTACTTGCCTATTTTGAAAAGCGTATCTCCGGTGTAAAAATATGAAAGGATCAATATTATTCAGCTGTTAACACGACTGGGGAATCATGAACAGTGATGGATGCCTAGTTTACAAAGATTATCCGGGTAATACATTTTTTCTCTTTATGAGAGAAGGCTGACTGCTTTTCTTTTACTCTATTCTAGCTTGATCTTCGATAAGCGTCCCAAATGCAGTAACAGCTTGTAACACTATATGCATATTTTCACAAATTAAAAGCACCGAATTCAATTTATTAACTTTCTTCGTATCTTTTCCTCTAACTTTCAGTTCGTCGTCCTCTTTTTTTTTTTTTTTTTTTTTTTTGGTAAAAAAAAAGAAGGAACCTTTTGATTGGCCACTTAATTTCAGACTCCAGAAAAAAAAATTAAAAAATATGACTTCTGCCAGATTCGAACTGGCGACCGTCTGTGTGTTAGACAGACGTGATAACCGACTACACCAAGAAGTCACTGGTTATTCCGTTATTCATCACTTTTCTCGCGGATAAACGTTTAACCGGATTTAGTAATTACCTTGACAACTACAGAGAAAGACACAACAACCGAACCTCCCGATATCCTACCTCCAACGCACTGCCCACCACCAGCTGCGCAAGATCTATTAGAACCGCAGAGCGAAATAGTGCATTTCTGCCCCGCCATTCCGACATCCGGCCATCAGCCTAAAAAATATTCTTTAAACAAACGGCGGCGGTCATCGTTACTCCCATCTCGCATTTCCCGTATCCCCACGAAAAAACGTACCCGCGTCACCCTTCCTGAACTTATTAGCTTCACTACCAAGCGTGAACACACTATGGGTGCGGTCAAAACCATCAAAAAAATTGAAAAAAAAGCCCAAGACCCAACGGGGGCATCGAAACCTCAAAAAAAGATTTCTCCTGAAGCCCTGGAACAATTGAACTCCGACTTTGAGAACATGCGCAACACAGATCTCAAATGTCCCAAATGCCACACTCTAGGCCATATTCGTAAAAACGGCCATAATAAGAGCGATCCTCCCATGCCTCTTTTTCTTTGCCGCTGCGGAGAACGGTTTACGCATCTTACGATGCAATTTTTAATCGCACAATACCGCGCACGAAATATATCTACCCTAGAAAAAACTGACATGCTGATGACCGATGATTCAGAAGCTGACATCCCTGCTCCAACTACCCCTAGCACTCCGACTATTGAACCACCGGCTACCTCAGGAGAACCCCAGCAACCTGCGCTTCGTTTTGAACATCACGATGCGCTCCCGGATTTTATGAAAACTGTCCTCCATGAGCTCAACACCCTCCGTAGTCGTATGGATAAATACGATGAGTTGATCGCTGAAAACCAGCGATTAAAAAATTTCAACCAGCAGCTCCAAGACTCTCTGACTGCTGCTGAAGCTCGCATTGCTCAGCTTGAATTTGTTTCATCTCCTGCTGCACCCACTGGTACCATGGCCTCCAAGTATGCCCCAGACACACCTATTGCACCCCCCCCAACTCAGGATACATGGGCTGCCCGAGCCAGCAAACATCGCCCCAAGAAGCAACAGCCTTCTGCTAAACGGATGGCCACTACCGCTCGCGCTTTCGATACCAGTGGAAATAGTGGCTTCCAGTACGTCTATATCCCAAGCAAATTCCGTATGAAAACAAAAGAGCTCCGCCAACGTCTTCGCATTCTGGGCTTCGACAATTCACGCATCCTCGATGTACACTATCCTGACCGTCAGGTAGTTGCACTTTTGCTCCACAATGATTACCATCCTGCTTTTCTCCAAAACCTTGAACGTCACAAAATTACTTTGATCTCTGATTTTAATCCTCGTAACCCTGCTCATCTCCGCGATCCCAAATTTGCAGACTTGCCGGCAAATGAACGTCAAACCAAGGCTAATGAGATCCATGCACAACGCCTTGAACGAGCCCTACGTTTTATCCGACCACCGGTCAAATACGCAGTTGCTCGTTCCTTTTACCAACAACAATGGATTGATGAAGACACGCTCCGGTCAGTTCTTACCTCACCTCAACCTGATACACAACCCTCTCAGCCCACCAACCCCTTCGTCACCGATGATGATGACAACGATGTTGAAGATACCGACATGGTTACCGGCAGCACCCCTCCCACCAGCACTACCCCCACCAACCTCCCTTCCCAATGAATAACACGATTACACTGACATTATGGAATGCCAATGGCTTACAACGCCATCTCATTGATACAATACTCTCTTTCACTGCCGAATCCTCCCTACTTTTTATTACTGAAACCTGGCTCCTCCCCCCACACTCTTTTCCGACCCATTGGCCCCAACACCACAACTATGGAAAACAATTACCAAACGCATATGCTGGTAGTATGGGCATCTCGCTTCTCATAAATCCTGCATATCCATACCCAGTCACCGTCCTGCCACCCAACTCACCCTATGTCTTGTCATGTACTACTGCCGACCTTCTTCTCCATTGTCTCTACCTTCCACCATCTCTCTCTGCCATAGAGGCATACACCATTATCTCCGATCTCCCGCTCTCTACACCCAACACCAGCAATACCATTATCTGTGGCGATCTCAACGCTCGTATTGGCTCCTTTGTTGGCGACCACGAAACTACCAGACGGGGTACCTTATTTCTAGAATGGATACATGAAAATGGTCTCACCCTCTGGAATGCCTCTTTGGCCTATGCGTCGCCCACATACATTAGAGGCAATGGCTCCAGTATTATTGACTGGTTCCTAAGTCCCCTCCCCCTCATTTCACCTTCCATGCGCATTGACTCAGAAAATTCCCTTGGCTCTGATCACAAACTCATCCATCTTACTTTCATCACCTCCCATCCTACACCTGCTCCCGGAAGTACACACCCAAGACAACTGTGGCATCTCAGTAAGCTGACAGACCCTAACACATTGGAAAATCTCAACGACAAATTCCGCTCCTTACTCCAACCACTTGCCGATGACCTTCCTAAACTCCTCACATCCAACATCCCACCCTGTTTCGAATCCCTTCACACACGTCTGTCAAATACTATATACGATGCTTTCGACCATGCAGTTGGCCGCCGGTCTCCTCCACGCCGCTCTTGCCGTTGGTTCTGGACTCCACAATTACAGACAGCCTTTGATCACCGCGAAAAATGCTATAAGCTCTGGCGTAGGGCTTCTGGCACTAGTAAAATAGCCCGTTGGATTACCCATCAAGAAGCTGCTGCAAAATTCCGCCGCCTGACCAACCAACGTAAACGCCAAACCTGGCGTGAGTTCTGTGACAAGATGGGCCAAGGCGATCTCTCGGTTGCTGCAGCAACCCTGGGAAAGCTACGACGTAATCGAAAAACTACTGTTCAGTTTACTGATCCTACTGGACCCTCTGCTGCTGCTGACCGCATTGCCGCTCACCTGCAACAAGTGTATGATGGTACTCTCCTACCTTCCTCACCGCCTACCAATGCCCCACCATCCTCTGTTCCTTTTACGGAATCTTGCCCCATTACTGAAGCACAAGTCATAGCAGCCATCAAACGTGTCGCA